AGATTAAAATTAGGTTTCTCTCTTATTCTTCTATACATGAATTGTGTCCAAGTGTCAAAGAGCTTATGAGTCAGGTACTCAAATTCCTTGGTAAAGGTGGTCAGGTTGGTGGATAAAGAACCAAGATGCCTCTCAATCTGTGCAGGGCTGGACACAGAAAATGGGGTGTGAACCCGGACAATACACTCGGCTCCTGCTCCCTCCCTCAGGGGTAGAATAGGTGCCGGTGTAGGAGTGGCTGTTGGGGAAGGCCATCTTTGGGTGGCCCGAGAGTGTGTGTTAGGTGGGAAGGTCTGTATTGAAGCTCTTGTGTTCGGGATGTTGGCTCTCAGGGGCCAGGGGAGAAGGTGGTTGCTGGTTAGGAGGGACTGGGTTTGGGGAATCTACTGCAGGTAAGGGAGGGGGCGTGTAAGGGGGCGGAAGTTGGTGGTCTACTAGATCAAAAGTCGATTCAGAATCAGAAGTGTTAGGGGACGATGTTTTGTGTGAAGGAGAAGGATCTGATGGGTAGAGCAGGACTGACAGAGAGAGGGTCTGAACGAGAGGGTGAAAAGGCCTGGACGTAGGGAATCTCTGACCATTTTCCATTGTGGTGACGGCAGTTACCGAAATCGTGCAATGGGTTACAATGGAATGTGCCGTTTTCAGGCCATTGAGAGTTACCTAGTTTATATTGTGGAGGTGCTTGGGCCTGGTCTCCCCCATGAGTGTGCAGAGGGTGTGTAGTGGGACCCACGAGAGGAAGGGTGAGTGACAGACCCCCAAAGGTGACTGTTTAGAGCAGGTATCCCCACTGCTAAGGAAATCACCATGAGAAATGAGGACTTTGGAGAAGTGAGTGAGAGAGAGTGGGCAGAAGACTCGAGGCGAGGGACATTTCATTCACCTGGAGAAGACTGCCGGTGTGGGATGGAAGGTCAGCAATGGAGGAGGAGATGTTCCTGATCCGGCGTCCTCCTTGGCTGGCTCGGGAGGGCTCATCAAGGAGGGAGGCCTAATCGAGGCCGGCAATCCCGTCACCTGAGTACGATTCGGAGGTAAGCTCAGGACGAACTGCCCTTGCCTACTGCTCTCTGAGCAGCAAACTCGGGCGACTGAAGCCAGGGCG